CTTCATGATAACTAGGACTTAGGGAAATCCTGAACAGGAATGGTAAGTACTTTTGTCTCAGAGTGTCAATTCTAATCCGTTTATGTTGACTGCCTGGAGCACTGTGTTGAAAAGGATTTGAAAGTAGTCTCTGAGATCAGGAATTGTGTAACAGAACACCACAATTAACCAGCAATGAGGCACTGGTGTATCTGGTAACCCTGTCTTTGATGGTATAGAGTAAACAAAAAAAAACAACAAAGCAGTCAAAATAGGCCTCTGTTCATAAAGGCTTACAATATGATTGCAGAAATAGTGAATTCATAATATAATTTGTTAACAAAATACTAGACTGCTACATTGTAGAACAGAAATGATTTTAAGGTAATATTTAAAACTTTAAAATTTATGGCACAATAATTAAACAGATGCAAGGGGAAAAGTAGATAAATGTGAACTGAAAAGGTCAGAAAAAAAACAAGCATAGGGGGACTTCCCTGGTGGTGCAGTGGTTAATAATCCGTCTGCCAATGCAGGGGACATGGGTTCGATCCCTGGTCCAAGAAGATCTCACATGCCGCAGAGGAACTAAGCCCGTGCGCCACAACTACTGAGCCTGCACTCCAGAGCCTGCAAGCCACAACTACTGAACCTGTGCCACAACTACTGAAGCCTGTGCACCCTAGAGCCAGCACACTGCAACTACTGAGCCCACGAGCCACAACTACTGAAGCCCGCGTGCCTAGAATCCGTGCTCCGCAACAAGAGAAGCCACCGCAATGAGGGGAGCTCATGCACCACAAGGAAGAGTAGCCTCCACTCACCGCAACTAGAGAAAGCCCGCGCGCAGCAACGAAGACCCAACGCAGCCAAAAACACATAAATAAATTAATTAAAGAATAAAAATATGCATAGGAGGAGGGCCTAATCTGAGCCACCTCAGAAAAATGAGATTTACACCGGGATGGGGGAAGGGATAGGAACTGTGCTCTCAAAGGAGTGAGAGTGGCATTTGACAAAAAGAGTAAGAAAAACAGTAATGCCTCAGCTGTGGAATTATGTGTGGGAGCAATAGGGAAGGATGCCATTAGGAAGGGGGTACAATTTGATAAGAGACAGGGTAAGGGGAGTTTGTTTCTTTTAATAATTGGAAATTGATCCTATTGTTCTGGTGCCTCAGCTTTACCCAAGTGGGAGAGAAAGGCAGGAACACAGAGTTCCTTGTCCTTTGTCTTTGCCTGAGGTGATGAGCTGCCTGTAGTGGCTCCATTCATGAAGAACAAGGGCACAAATACTTGGAGAGAATGTGCAGTTGCTCTTATGCATCTCGGTGAGCCCAGGAAGAATGTCTCTCTGGGAGGAGCTTGGGCAGAAAATCTCTATGAGGAGTGAGTAGGAGATGCAGCAAGCAAGAGAATGCTCCTTTTGTAGTCTGGAAGGAGCATGAAGCCACTCAGAGGGCCTTTATCCTAAAAACTCAGAGCTTGTCATTTTCATAGATTGGACACGATGAAGATGCTAATAGGGACACATGATATATGTTTTCATATGGGAACTCTCAGATGGAGAGGATGTAAATGCCCCATGGATTATAGGGGCTTTGGTTTGAACACAATAAAACGTGTACTGCATCTTCTATCTCCACATTTTATCAACAGGCAGGCAGTTTCCTTACGTAGTTAAAAGCATGGACTCTGAAGCCAGAATGCCTGGGTTTGAATCCTGTCTTTACCGCTGTAAGAAACCTACCTAGTGCTCCTGTTCTATCTGTAAAATATAGTACTTACATTACAGGGTTGCTGTAAAGCTTAAAATGGAAAATGCTCAGAATAGAGCTTCACACATAGTAAGCACTAGAGTGTTAGCTATTATTTGTGGTTAGAGAAGGTGAAGGAAGAAAGGAAAAGGCATGATTATATGCTTGCATGTTGCATCTTTGAGACTGACTGTTCTTGTATTGGAAACCATGTCATTAAACATTCTAAAAATATTCTCAAATCTGAAAATTCCTAATTGGACACATTGTGCTTTTTAATTTATTTCCAAAATATGTGAAGAGTTCAGAGATGGAAAAAAGAAAGGTCTTTTAATGTCATTCACTCTTAAAGTCAAAGCTTCATAATGGACAGAAAATAAATAGATGAAATGCTACATGTCTCAAAATCTGGAGACATGGATGTCTGTCCCAATTTTTCACTTTCTAATAAATGCTAATGGCAATAGAACTGCTCTTAGCAAAAACTACAGAGAGGGGCTCTTATTTGAAATCAATGTTAATGACTGATTGTGCTTCAGGAAAGTAGAAACATTATAGTTCATTGCCCAGTTCAATTACCTAATACCAGGTAAGTCCTGCCGGGAAGACAGTCATTTGTCAGTAATAAGGGGTCTTAAAAGTATGTTATGAATGTTATGTTACGAATCTATCAGAAAAAAAGAAGCAATTTCTTTATGCCTTACATGAGAAAAAAATTCTAGCTGGGCAAAATTTCCCTTGCCAAAAACAATTAAAGACAAATTGGAAAGGCTACCATTTAAGGATAAACCATTAAGAGGCTTTCAAGATGCTAAACATATTTTCAAATCGATTCTCTGCCTCCAAACAGGTGGATTTTTTTGTTATGCAATATTTTAATATAATCTTTTAATTACCCTTAGCAGGTGATACTTTAAAATAAAGTTAATTAGTATTTTCTATTCTAGCAATTCAAGCATGTACAACTTGTTTTTGTCAATGTGATTCCCTAGATTTGTTGAGGAGAAATAGGAAAAGGACCCCCAGATAATTTAAGGAGCCAGCTCAAGGCATGATGCCAATTTGCCATTCACACAAAATGGGGTACCTGTGGGTCTTGTGCTTGGCTTGGCTAACTCCAGGACACTGACCAACAGAGCCAGCTGTCTAAACATTTATAACCATCCTCAGGCTTTGACAAGTTTTGACCAGGCTAATGGAATCTTGCTGACACAGCTTGTGTGTCATGTACAATATGTAGGAATCTTGGGCCCCTTCTTCTTTTCTGTAGATACTCTTTCAAAGGTAGCCACAGCCACACAACACAGCTGAGACAGCTAAGAGTCTTGCTTTGTTCCCAGCATTATTTTCTTTTAGTAACGCTCCAGAGTCAGTGCCTAGCTCCTTCAGCAGCTGGGAAGCTGGTTGTGTTTCTTTTGTTTGCTTTTTCTGTTCTTCTGGTCTGGTCCCCATTCTCTACCCTGAACACTTTCTCTGAGGGAATTAAGATTCTTTGGGTTGTTTTTCTTTTTTTTTTTTTTTTTTTGCAAAATTAACCTCTTGGGAGATTCTCTATAATATGCAAAAAAGTACATCGTTCGTTTTGGTTTAATTTTCACCTTTAGAATTTTAAATTGCTGAACTATAAGTCATTTGGGGAGAAATTTAAATAACACTTAAAAAAATATCTTTGGATGTACAAGGTAATTTTTTAAGAAGGCAGAGGGGAGAGAATATCAAGGAACAAGAGGGAATCACAAAGACATTAAAATAAAAGGTCATTAAATATATCACAATTGAACGGCAGCAGCAGTAGCAGGCCTGAGCTCCCAAATGTGCTTTATCTGTGCACCATGGTTCAAATGATGTCATCCAATCACAAAAGCTACATAGACTAAAAACCTCATGTAATCCACTTAACCAATTAGGAAGTATATATTGATATCTTTCCCATGTGCCATTGGGCACTGACACTGCACTATATTTCAGAGACTTTGTAGGACTGTTGACTTTAGATTACCAAGGATCCAAGATAACAAAAAACAAACAAAAAAATCAAACACTGTTACTTTACTGACCAGTTCTGTTTAGTTAGAATGGTCAAATCTGTGCAAATGTGGCTTTAGGCATGTAACATACCTTCCCCGGGTAGAGTCATTATAAGAAAGCTCTCCATGACCCTGCCACAGCTATCCAACTAGGGTTTATGTACAAGGCACGGACAGAGTTTGGCCCTAGAGAGCTTGGTGCACACAGAGTTGTGTGACCCAGAGTTGAGGGTAGACCCTGAGGATGAATATAAGGACTGGCAATCTGAGTCACTGCCAGTGTGGTATATGGGATAATTTGGGCTGCTCTACCAAGGCCAACCTGAGGCAGTGTTCTGGGGAAGTTGCCTGAGGTGGCTGTGTTTATTTTCACAGCCCATCCTTCTTCCATGCTGCCTCCTGTTTCATGGGGCTCTCAGCTTAACCCTGCATGCAATTAGGCTGTGATTAAGGTGTCAATGGATGATGGTTTAGAAAGTCCCAGTACCATTTATTTCATCATATTTCACTTGACAATGGGAAAAATCTTCCCCCTTTTTGTGAGGGAGAAAATAAACAAATCAGCCACCAGAAAAGTCTGTTGTGCACCTGCTAGGTGCCTGGCCTTGTGGGAGACACCTTGGGGGTTACATAGAAGTGCAAGGTATGGCTTTGCCCTCCTGGGACTTCCAACTTAGGTGTGGACAAAAACATGCCAGCAAAACTATAACTCATAGTACAGAGGCACATGAGAAAAATGTAAACTACACTATACAGCCCATAAGTGTGAAAGGGGTGGTGACTAGATGATGGGTTCCCACAGCTGCATTAATGGGATGAGATCAAAATAGGGATCAACTGATTATCATCCCAGTAGAAAAAAAAAAAAAAAAGCAACACCATAATTCAAACAGTATTCTAAGGACAGCAGAGAGAGAATGTAGAAAACTACAGGGAGTGTAATAATTGCCTGTTTTGTCATTATTAAACTTTCAGTAGGATTCTTTTTTCTTTCCTTTTTCTTTTAAAATAGGATTTTTAAAACTGCCTTGACAGACTAAACTTATATGAGCATTTGAACATGGAAGAAAAGAAATAAGAGCCTTTGGGGTTAAAACACCAATATGAAATGTATTAAATAAAGAAGATTCTTTTATGAAAGGCTTCTAAAGTTGTCTTACATTTCTTAAATCAATCTGTAGCACATAATCAGTAAAACCCTATCATTTAAACAGAAAAATCATAACTTAGAAACTCACCCTTGTGCAGCTGTATCCTATTATGGGCTGTAACTTAACACGTGAGTTTCAGAAGTTGTTAAAGTTGAGTTCAGGCTAACAAATCTTAACTGTTAAAAAAAAAGCCGATGGTGAGATGAGACAGCAGACTATGAAGAGGCACCAGATTTGATCACAGGATGGGTGTCACTCATATTTTATTTTGATTTGTTAAATCTTATTTATATATTAAGAAATAAATGTATTAAGACAGATATGGCCATTAAGTGATCAAGAAGCCACTTCTTTTTTTCCATTTTGAAAAATTTTCCTCTGGCACTAAGACTTTCAGTATTTAAACTCTGCCAAATGTATCTTTACTGAAAAAAGGAGAACAATGCTTATGCCACAGATAGCTGAAATGAAATCTGCATTTTTCTTTTAGTATAAATTCAAATAAAAATAGTTGTGTCCTGTAATAGATAAAGTAAAACTAGCTTTTGAGTAGGCTTTTTCAGTAGAATGGACATCCACAGTTTAGATGCTAAAATTATCAGAGTTCAAATTATTGTAATTAAGATGCCATCATTAATCCAAAATGAGCTAGCAAGCAGTGGAGTTTTTTGTTTTTTGGGTTTTTTTATAACAATACTTCACTTTAAAAAATAAATTTATTGATTTATTTTTGGCTGCGTTGGGTCTTTCATTGCTGCACACGGGCTTTCTCTAGTTGCGGAGAGCGGGGGCTACTCTTCCTTGTGGTGCGTGGGCTTCATCATTGCTGTGGCTTCTCTTGTTGTGGAGCACGGACTCTAGGCGTGCGGGCTTCAGTAGTTGTGGCACATGGGCTCAGTAGTTGTGGCACATGGGCTTAGTTGCTCCGTGGCATGTGGGATCTTCCCGGACCAGGGATCGAATCCATGTCCCCACCATTGGCAGGTGGATTCTTAATCACTGCGCCATCAGGGAAGTCCCTGTTTTTTGTTTTTTAACCATGCTCTTTCCAGCACACTTTCTGTGGTGGAATGCAATGCAATACGTGTAGGAATTTTATTGCACAAGTGCCTTCATCCCTCACATCCTACTCCATTCCTTTACGTGAAATGCAAAAACCATAAATGTATCATCAAATTTATAGATTTTAGATAACTACTCTAAAAAGCATGGGATGGGGAAAATACTTGACTCCTGAGAATTTTTCCTCTCTTGCATTCCATACAGCCAGATTCATGATTACTGAGATGTTTTTAATAGCTCTATAGTATGGTCCAATTTTTCCAAAGGGTAAAAATGTACTTTTTGAAGTATTCACCTAACTGGTATAAATACAACCTTTCATGCAGAAAATGTCTCCTCAAATGGGAGAGTTAATGCACTTCAAATATGTGAGAAATTTTTCTTCTAATTGTGCAATGTTTAGTTAAATGTTCCACCGTATTTTTTCATTATAAAATTTTGGGAAACAGTGAAATCTAACACTTCACTTTATAAATCAGTGCTAGAAACCAACATGTTCTCATGGCTTTAATGACAGCTAAGATAGTTTTTAACTATCTGAAAAGTTTGCCTTGATTTTGGCCTTTACTTAGTGAAAGTGGTTTCTCCCTATAGGCATGTATTGCATCTTGCCTGAATGGGCAAAAGGATTCTTGCTGTGAAAAATCTGCAATTCTCTCCAGCTTAGTATCAGGAAGTATACTTGTAGCAGATGTCAATATAATCTTTTCCCCAATACAACATGAGGCCATACACTTCCAGAACTAATCTACGATCACTGCTAACTCTAATGGACCCCTGTTGCTTACACTTGAGCGTGACTCCACCTGTCTTCTCAGCCTTGTCTCCACCTCCCCTGATGCATTGTTCCTGTATTGCCTGATCTGCCTTTGGACAAACTGTTCTCTCTCCTCAAAAATGCCCTTCCCTTATTACTCTCCTGTTACACTCCTGTTCAGATATGCCTATTTAATGAGCTCTCTCCATACACCCAGAAGAGTCCATTTCAGTTCCACCTCTGTTTTCCTAACAGATACTGCCATGACAGCACAAATGACATGGTAATGTAACACCTCTGAGAGGCAATGTCTTGCAGTGGCTAAAGGTGAGAGGTTGGAAGATAGAATTTGAATCCTGGCTCTGTCATTTTATTAGGTGTGGCCTTGGGCAAGTCACCTTAACCTCCACAAGCCTCAGTTCTCTCACCTATAAATCAATAGTACCTATGTTATTGGCTTGCTGTGAAGAGTAAACCTTCTTAGCATAGTGCCTTAATCACATGATGAGGACTGACATCTTAGCATTACTATTAATGCATGAAGAAGGATCCGAAGATGGCAGATAAGCATATTATGCTCTTGTAATTTGAAGGGTTAACGCTCAGAGTAGGATCTGAAAGTGCAGACATCTTGAAATCATGGGGCGGTGATTTCCTTTGGGAAAGCATGTGAGAAATTGTTAAACAGGGGCAAACAGATAGTAAGCTCACACACAAACTCTCAAAAGAGCTGACAAGGGCTGCTTTCAGGATAGCTCATCTTTGATTGTGACACATGACACATGAAAAGAAACTGGATGTTGCACAAAGCCAAGAATGAAGGGCAACATGGATATATGCCTTAATTTCTCCACAAAGAGATTCTGTCTGGTGGTAGAGACTCCCAGAGATACCTGTTACAAAATGGAGACATTTAGGTAGTGAAGAACAGTCCAGTGTCAGCTTAGATGAGCAAATTACAAACTGAGAGCCCACCTCATTTAAAATTTCTTTCCGTTATTTTTCATTTGAAACGCAAAATAGAGAAAAAGGGAAAAAATGTCATGAAATTTATTTCCTTTCAGGAAAGAAAATAAAAAGCAAATTACAACTTTTGCCAGATGAACACCTGTCTAAAACAAATGAGAGGTTTAATACATTACAAAATGCCACTTGGAGGGCCTCCTTGGCTGAGAAAAACATTCATATTTTATTTCCTTAAATGAATGTAACTATCCCCATGTGCATCGGTCTCAGACCAGAAAACTCTCTGGGTACTTTTCCTGACCAACTTGAAGAGAAAATTCAATTTACTATTGCTTGTTTTTAAACAAATCAAAAGCCAAGGGAGGGCAACAAATTAATCAAATGATCGTTTACATTCCTTGTATTATATGTTTCTGAAGAATAAAGAGAAAAAAACTGCCTTTGCATCATTGAAGAGAAATTTAGAAAAACACTTTTAGAATGTTATTATTATTTTTTTATGCTCCTTTGTTCAACTGTGCACGGTTTTAAGCATTGTTGAATTGGCTTTTCATCTTGTAGGAAAGCAAGGTAGCAATTTTTCTTAAGGAATTGGCAGTGATGTGTTCAAGTGCTTAGCTCTTTCCTTCTGGCAAAAAGAGACGGGCCTGGGGTGGGGGAAAAGGAGCCAAGAGTGACTAGGAGGAGGGGAGGCTGCTTAGAACCTGCTATTCAAGGTTGATAGCAGCTTTTTACAGGCTGTGTAAAGCAGGATTGTGGTGGCAGCAACTTATGGGTGTGCCAAAGAAAATGAGTCCATGTGCTAAACCCTGGCACATGCATGGTACGTTGCTGAGGCAGGGCATAGGCCCTAGGCAGACTTGTGATGTCTGCCCCAGAAAGTAAGTGAAACTGTTCCCATTTATTCCATGAGGATGGTGAGTGGTTGGATGTTTGGATATCATAAAAACCCCTGGCACAGAAATCTGCCATTTTGGCTTACTTTCATTTAGTCATTTTTCAGATTAGAAACACCTGAAGGGAGAGGCTCAGAAGTTAAAATTCACACCTATTAAGCCATGCAAGCAGTTGCAGAGTGGCAGCCCATTCTAGGGTAAGCAGGCAATGCTATCTGATGAAATTTAAGTTCTATGTTAAGGAATGAAGTATATAAAACAGGACACTTTTTTGCTTTTCCATATAAAAGAGTTCCCACAAAGGCCTGGATGATGGAACCTAACGTATGTTTTATTTTAATCCTTTTCTGTTTTATTCTCTCTGGTAAACTAAACAATTGCTGGGATTTATTTCAGCTCAAAAAGTGGGCCATATAATTTCAGATTAAATTTCTTAAATTCACAATGAACTCAGTGAAAAATTTCACCTCTATTTCCTTTTACTGTTTCTACTATCCAAACCCTCACCGCATGATCCCTGGTCCTCTACAGTTCATCCAAAGTCTTAGGCAGGTCAAGATCCTTTTTACCCTTCACTAGTGAATGCAGTGCTATTGTAGGAGAGAGGCATTCTTTCCTCCCCTTTTCACTTAAAAAAACATGCCAAACCTGAATAGACTCCAGGCTAGTCTGGGGGAGGGAGTGATTTTTATTAGTTCTAACATAGCTATTGACACATGCTTGAAGACAATATTTAAAAGAAAGCAAGAAACTAAGAAAGCAAGAGAAAGAGTAAGAGGAGTAAGAAAGCAAAATAAAGAAAGGAAGAGAAAAAAGGAAGAAAGAAAAAAGAAAGAAAGAGCAGGCTTTCACTTTATGCCTTAGTGGGCAAATGGGTTACAATTTAATTTCTAAGAAGAACATTTTATAGAATAAAATTGCCTAACATTTCTTTCTCTTCATCACACATATGAGAAATATAAAATAAAAGGACATCTGGAAACGAACATTATTCAGCAATCAGAAAGCAAAAATACAAACCATTGATGTTTTGATGGAGACAAACATACGAGATTCACAAAGAAGAAAGCTGTAACTTATTGAAGTAAAAAAAAAAAATTCCATATGCATTTTACCTTTTGGGTAGTTCCATAGCAAAGTTCTGTTTCAGAAGCCCTTTGTAATATGAAACCCACTGTAGATAAGATACAAGGTGAAGATAGTCTGTTTTGCAGCAGCAGGAAATCAAATTGGTTCCAGAAACAAAGTTACATGATAAATGGTCTAATAGTATTGCTAGAATTGGAAATCTTGATTGAATTATTTTTCATAACCATTAAAAAAAGATTTTGAAATAACTTTGCCATAGCTGTTTAGATTTTTTTGGGGGGGAGGGGGAGAGCATTGTTGCAGAATTGGGAAGACATCTCATTTTACTGGCCTTTTAAACTAAAGTGTTATAATTTGTTATCAAAATTTAAGAGCTCAGTGGTGATTTATTAATTTTTTGCAACAAAAAATTTCAAACACAATACTTTTTAAACATAACTCATATATGGTATGGAGGATTAAACAGGTTAAAAAAGAGATATACTTTATTATCATTTTCAAGTTATTTTTAGTTTTAATCCTAGTACCAATCAGTCTTATTTATTTAAAAATCATCTGGAAAAGTTCATTAAGTCTTAGTCGAATCTTAGATTTTAAGACAGACTTCTAAACGGTTAACAAGATGTATCACTGACAAAATATCCCAGCGACTGATACCCGTAGGTGAAATGAAATTATTCTGTCTGAAGTCAGAAACAAGTTAAATACCACTTAGACCACAGCACACGACTACAGAGATTTAGGAGAAAACATACTTAAATAGGATGTGACTAGACATTTAGGACTATTTTCTAAAAAAGTCAAAAAACGTTTTTCCCTTCAGTACTTACAGTCTTTGAAGACTAGAGCCGGGTCTCTGTGAGGCAAGACTTGGGCAATGATGTGTCTCAAGGATTCCAAGGTTCTGTCCATCTTGGGTCTGCCTGTGCGAGCCTGCTGCACAGTGTCCTCATGCCTGAATTCTTGCAGTCCTGGTCTGAATTTGTGCAGCTCATTGATGCACAGGATTACCAAAGAATCTCTTTTAACATCTGCCAATCAGACATTTCCCAGAATCTAAAGACCCCTCAGGGGGCCCTCCTCCCAGGCTCACTTATCTTTGTTGTATGCTGAGCTAATTAGCTCAAAAGGCTGGCTGACAGGCGGGTTCCCATTGCTTCCTTCTGTTAAACACACCCACCTACAGGCTAGCTGGGGAAGCTCACTAATCATGGGAACAGCTTTCCTCTCCAACCAGATTTTGCCTGAATGGTGTGCAGCTTTCGGACTTCCATATTTCTTTTGGTCACTCATCTTCTAATGTGCTGACTTCAGGTATATAGAAGCAAGAAGGTTATTTCTCAAGAAAGTTTCCTTAGTAGCAAAGGAGTTTCCAGCTCAGGACTTCCATCTCAGAATCAGTATAATCTAAATTCTTCTCGGTAAAGAAGTGCTGTAAAGATTGTGGATGTAGCCAGGCACCAGATCATGTATTGTATCTGAATCCAGGAACATCTCTTTGGGAGCCAAGTGTTTAATTTTTTCACCCACCCAAATTATAGTCACTTTTGATGGGCAGTGGCAAATAAAATCTCATAGTCTGTGTTTTGACTTGCTTGGGAACATTTGTTTCCTTCTTTATCCTTCGAGGCAAATCGTTCCCAAGATTGACTTTAATGAGTTCTGATATCATTCACTTCCTTTCATTTCCTTTCAGGATAACTTTTTATATTAAAAATTTCAGGAGAAGTAAAAATATATTTTTCAAAGAATATAGGTGGTTATGAAAATATCTGAAGAAAACAAAGCTGCTTTTTCTACCGATGTCCTACACCACTCACAACAATGTTAAATAGTCCTCCCACAGGAGACATGTCATAGAATTCTACTGCAGTAATAAGGATTTAAACCAGATATAAAAGAACTGATTTTAGTGGCTGTAACCTATGTTAGTTGTTGATGGCTTGTTGAGGACTTCCTCACTTTTATTTAAAATATTTTTCCAGGGTAGGCACAGGAGATCGCTTTCCAATGTTCTTTCTAATACTCAGATTCCATAATTATGTTGTACTATATGATTAACTGAAACCGGTTCTTTAAAGACTATATAAAATGTTTTCCATGTGATCAGCTTCTTTGGCTAGTTGGTAGAAGCGGTGGGCTTAATTAATAAAAGGAAACAGAAGGAATGAGGCTGTAATAGTAACTCCTATTATAATGACCATCACCTAGTAAAATGCCCACAGAGAGTATGCATATGTCGCACACAACAGACATATAGGGTTGCCCCAGAATGCAAAGATATTATAAAAAAAGAAATTGAAAGAAGTCACACTTCTTTCATAGGGTCCTGAAGTGTACTTTACATGGGCTGTAACAAATAGGAAATCATCAATGTCCTTGCCATCCAGTTCATAATTTAAAGGAGAAAATAGATGGTTTGTAGACAAAAAATTATTATATATTGATTAGATATGAAGCATAAATGAATGCAAATATTTTCAGTGTGATACTGAGATAGAAACCAAGATATTTTAGGTTCCCATTAGAGGAACAGAAAAAATAATATGGACTTCTCAGGGGAGTGAGACTAATAATATAAAAGTAGAAAAATTAGAAATAATTCTGGGATTTCAATCAATAATGGACTTTTTATGGGCTTAAATTTAATTCCAGTAGTACATAAAGTATTTTGGTTGTGTAGTGTGGTGGAAGGAACACTGAATTTGGGATTAGTAAGATCTAGGACTTGATTTTAGTCATCTGCATAACTTTGAAGAAGTCACTTATCTTCTCTGGACTCAGAGTCCTCATCTAGAAAATTAGGGGTTTGAGCCAGATGCTCTCTTTCAGATCAAACATCTATGATACTATGGGTATATTACAAATGAACACAAATATTACCATACATTTTCTAGCCTTCTGGAAAGTCATATATTTATTTCCTAAAAGCTAGACTGTCTTCAAACAAATCACTGCTATTCTCATAGTCAACTTCATACCCATTCATCAATAGTAAGGGACACATATTCATATTCATAGAGTGAATTAAAAGGTACTCACCGGGCTTCCCTGGTGGCGCAGTGGTTGAGAGTCCGCCTGCCGATGCAGGGGACACGGGTTCGTGCCCCGGTCCGGGAAGATCCCACATGCCGCGGAGCGGCTGGGCCCGTGAGCCATGGCTGCTGAGCCTGCGCGTTCAGAGCCTGTGCTCCACAACGGGAGAGGCCACAACAGTGAGAGGCCTGCGTGCCGCAAAAAAAAAAAAAAAAGGTACTCACCACTAAAGCTAACTAAAACGAAGGGTAAACATTTATTAATAAAACTTATCTTCAACCTCTGTAAGATTGTTTTTAAAGGCAAACTGTGAACATCTGCTTAGAGAACCCCAAAACAGCTTTGCAAAGATAATTTCATAAAGATAACATGATCTTTATTGGGTTATATTTTAAGAAATAATAATAAAAAAAGAATTCTAGAAAGGTGGATATACAACATTCCAATTGGATAGTGTATTTTCTTCTTTCTCATTAGGCCCAGTTCCTCAGCAGATGTTTTCCGAAGCCTTTGCATATTCATTTCTTCCTTGTCTGCCCTTAAAGACTTCTTACCTTAAAGTGCTATTGTGAGACTATCTAGAAAAACAACTCAGTGGTTTCTCACCATTCTCTCTGATATAGAAAACACCTGATGAAGATGGAAGCGCCTGAGAAACCCCTGTGCAGTGTGCTTGTTTTAGTACATATTCTACAGTTCACACATTAGATTTCACTGTCAACTGCAACCATCTCTAGTCATATGGCAAAAGCAAAATCAAAGTATTGAAACAGGGTAGATGACTACAGTGAAAACCAAAACGATATTTTTAGAAATCCTGTTAAGGGTACCACTCAGAAATATGAGAAATGGAATCGAACTGACATATTCAGTGTTCAAAATTGATCACCCAATGGTAAAAGTGGAAGGCTGAGTGCAACAACACACACAAAGCTCCCAGAGAGTACCGATAATAATACAGATGAGTAATATTCTTGTTAATTAGTTCATTACAGGTAAAAACTGATAAGGAGGCAGGGGCCACCAACTGAAATAACATCCAGAATGTTAGAAAACAGAATGCAGCGAAGAATTAGTACCTCCACTATCCTCCTTGCTGTGTGACTTCATACAATGCTTGGCCCTGGAGGAGGAATCTGGGGTAGGTGAAATAGGAGAGTTGGCCTGTTGATAAGGCTACAGTGACCTTGAGAGTACAGGTCCTGAAAGATTTTAGCACAAGGTATGCAAACTCCAAAGAGTAGGCTTAAGTAACTGAGTCTGAGCTTATTTAGAACTATTCAAAACAGAAACAATGGGGAGCAATTGACAGCAGCTCCTTCCAAATTCCAGTGGAGATGGGTGGGGGAACTGGTAGGTCCTAAATACCAGATTGGCCGGAAGAGGGTCAGAGCCCTGTGCAATGTTGCTGGGGGCTTGGGGGAGGGGGAAGAAGGGCAAAGCTAGGAAGAAACTGACTTTGCAGGGGTAATGACTAATGACTGTTCAGTGTCAGCTTTGTTTAGCCTCAACTAGGAAGAGGCCAGTAGGAGGAATGAAAGGCTGGTTAGCATCAACTTTGTTTACTCTCAACTGGGAAGGAACAAGTAAAAGGAATGAAATGGCTTCTCAGTGTTAATTTGTTTACTCTCAACTGGGAAGAGACCAATGAAATGTTTGAATCAAGGAGGGTATTAATGAGAGGGTCAGTTGGAAAGGCAACTTCAAATTATCAGACAAAAGTTTAAAAACACAGGCAACGTAAAAGAACTTTATCTCAGATATTCGTTCATTGATATTTCGCTAAATTCAGGAAATCAATATTAAGTACTAATCTGCTGAACTACATGAATAATTAGAAAATTGATAAATCTCCCATCTACAGATTAAAGGAATGTACATTCTCTAATTTTTATAGAAAATTACGAAAAACGCTTTCCTGAAATAATTTCCCTCCCCACCAGATAAAAACACTAGTGAACTGCCCTTTGTCTTTGCCAGGGCAGTCAGAGAACCAAAAAGCACAATGAAAGTAAACCCTTCATTTATCTGCACCTTCTGTTTCATATAATTTGGGGATCCTGAATGAGCCCACATCATCTTGATTGTTTTGTGTAACCAATTACCCAGTCCAATCTTGGTATTTTGTCTCCAAAGAGAAGTAAAATTGATTCTTCAAGACATACTTTAGAGGCCAAAGATATCATTGGAGAAGGCTTTGCTAGTTCACGGGTCAACACGTCCAAGATAAACAGAGGTATTTAAAGGTGCAGGAATTTGGATGTTCAAATTTACGGGATTGGAGATAGTGATTCCAAGCCCTTGGGTCATGAGATATGTGTTCTATGAAAACTGAATTGATTACTTAACTGTGGCTGGCTGACTTCCAGCATAATAATGTATTTTGAAAAGAAGAGTTAAAAAAATTTTTTAGCTTGCTTTTAGAGTGGACTATGCCAGTGGCCTTTACAACAATGTTTTATCTTTAATTAATGTTTATCTGATTATTGGTCCCTCTCCCTCTCCTTGCATTTTCTCACAGGACCAGCACCCCTACTCCCCCTGCTTCCCGCTTTCCAGGATAGGAATTTACTGGTTGTTGGGGAAAAAACATATAAGCTGTGGCTATAAAATGATCAGATTCATCTTAAAAGAGTTATCTGAACTCCAGTTAAACAAAGGTCAAAACCACCCGAGTACACTGGTTTTCCTATCATTCGCCTTGCCGGTAGCATGAATTCCATCTTTTCTCTCACTCCCAACCTTATTCAGTCTATGTGACTTTGGAAAAGTAATTTTACGTCTAAAGATGTTTTCCCATCCCTAAAATAAGAACTCCAGTTTTATGTTTTTATCTAAAAATAAAAATAAAGATGTGGTCTTCTATAAGGGGCATGCTGGGGGGGTGGTGAGACACACACCCAGTTTACATGGACTAACTAGAGCTACCCTCTTCCTTCTTTAGATGAAGTCATGTTTCTGGGGTATGAGTTGTATGAAATGTTTAAATCTTTGCAACAGCGAGCAAGTTAAAATGAAAATCTAGACTATGAAAAAAATTATATTTGATTAAAACAAACCTAGGGAAAACGTTTTTGGCTATAAACAAATGACAAAACTGAGATTAGTTGATGGCAATGTTAGGTTCAAGCAAGCCAGTAACTTCACTGCTCTATATATTTTAGATGAAGCTTCCTGTAAAGACTGCATCATTAGTATACTCTTAATTCAATTCAGGCCACACTTATGGATATGCTTACATTAAGATAAAAGCCTTGTGCCCATCCATTTCACACTATAAACTATAATTTCCATTTCACTTCCTATGCAGTCACCACCAGAGCAATGCACTTAGCATGCATCCTGCTGACACAGAAGAAACATTATTTCTTTTCAAATTTGTTTAAAGAAGGAGGGATAGGAAACTGTATAGAAAGGGGGCTTATTTTTCCACAAATTGAAAACTGGAGAAAGACCAAGTGAGACAAAAATATATTCTTATGATCCTCTCAAGGTACCTCATTAGCCTTGAGCTCAAGGAAAAAGAACTACTCCCCCAGCACCACCCTGCTTCCTAGGGAAAACGTTTTTGGCTATAAACGTTTTTCCACCTCCTCTAAACCAGAAATATTCCACTCAGGGCTTCAGTCTACTGAGATGGGTTTCTTGGGCCCGTGAGAAGATGAAAAGGCCTGTTATGGAAAAACAAGTGAAAAAACCCACCCACTTTCTAAAAATGGAGGAACTTTGTGAAAGATAGGACTCAAAGCCTGGACCTGGTTGTGAGGACTTTTTCTCGTATCTCCACGGCACTAGGAAGACAAGTCACAGTCTGTGGATCTTAGTGACTTGTAGAATTTAGACCCCAGAGCCGGAAACAAAGGTCTAAACCACTCGAATACAGTGGTTTTCCTACCATTCACCTTGCCGGTAGCATGAATTCCATCTTTTCTCTCACTCCCAACCTTATTCTGTCGATGTGACTTTGGAAAAGTAATTTTACATCTAAAGACGTTTTCCCATCTCTAAAATAAGAACAAGGCAATAAAGACTATAACTCTAGTATGATAGGATTCTATTCCAGGTTGTCTTAATTGGAATACTTAGGCTGACAAGACAACATGATAACACTTTAGATTCTAGTTTTCCTCCAATTCATTGTCTAACATTGACAAAGTTCCCTTAGTTCTACTCCCTCCTCCCTTTAAAATCAAATAATTGCACTGCTTAAAATCTACAATCACTCTTTTTCCTAATATATCAAGTTAAACTTAAAATTTTTCATATATAGGATGGATAAACAATGGTCCTACTGTATAGCACTGGGTACTATATTCAATATCCTGTGATAAATAAGAATGGAGAAGAATATGAAAAAAATATATAACTGAGTCACTTTGCTGTACAGCAGAAATTAACACAACACTGTAAATCAACTATACTTCAATATTTTTTCAAAGTCATCTTTAATTTGGACCTTTGCCACACAACACTTTCCCCCATGTACAGTATAGTAAGCATATTACATTGATTTCTGACTTGTGAATTTTCTGCATGATTTCCTCTTAGCAAGCTCTTTCAGTCTACCTATTCAACCAAATCCCTCCCCCTTGCCCAAAACAACTCACCAAAGCACTCTGGCCTTTCACTTATCTACTATCCTTGGAATTTCCTCAGCACTACATCAGTGGTATCAGGCTCTTTAGTATAGTCTTTGTATTGTCATGTAACTGTTGTGTGTTTGTTCCAGTCTCTCCAAAAGACCTTCAGTCAACAAAAATTTAAAAACCTGTGTACTCCTTCCCCAGATACCACTTTACACAACACCAAACCACTTGGAAAACTGATGTGGACATGTTTCTTGGTTCCTAATGCAGGCCAAACCTCTTCTACCAACAGCAGAGTTATAGTAAGCAGGGTTTTTTTTGATTCATTTATTTCAAGTGGTTATTTTTTTTCTAAACGGAAGGAAGCACATAATACTGTGACAAATGTCCTAAATAACACATCTATGAGCATGCTCCTATTTATGGGATTAAACCTACAATAATTTGATTCTAAATGTTACATAAAGTTAATTTTAATGTCATCATTATTTATAATACTAAGGTAAAAGAAAAACCTAAGACCTTTAAAATATATCAACATTAGTCTTTTTGAGTGTTGTGGGCTTTGGAGTTATTCCCACACTCCCAGTTATTATGCAACTGTGCATCTCATGATTATTCTGAACTTTACCTCATCCCCAGCCATTACAGTTGCAGAGTACTTCATAAAGCACATCAAGGGCAAACTAAGATATGGCCTGATGCTCTCTAGGAAGTTGTTCTGAGGAAGGATGAAGAACAATGAAGATGGTGAGCCTTGGCCTACCCAGAGCACTGAATGTGACACGAAACAAACCTACACCTCAGGGAAGTGCTCTGAACTCAACCCCCTATCCTGTGGAAATGGCTGATAAAACTATGAGGCAGCTGGTTTACCTAAGTTTTTTAATTAGGCAACTATGTGTTTTGTCAGAAAATTTACAGTGCACTTAACTAAAAGAAGGATTATCTTGAACTGCACTAACCTTCCAGTTAGTACCCTTTAAAGATCTTTATGATTCTGGAGAAAGCTCAGAAGCCATCTGTACACCAAAGAACAGACTGATGGTTACCAACACTGCAAACTTGGCACTAATACAAACTGCATACCTTGCAGGAAAAGCTTATTTCAAGGGAACACCAAGTAGACAATGGAAAGCTGCAAGCAAAGTATCTGTACGTCTTGATAAAATCATAGTTGAAATACCTTGAAAAATGGAAAGATTCCTCTGGAATCTCCCTTTTGGTAACCTTAAGTCATTTGAACCATACACTAAACCAGTCAGCCCTCTGTATCCTTAGATTCAGAACCCGCTGAGATGGAGGACCCACTGTCTGCGCTTTTATTTAAGGGACTTGAGCATGAGATGATTTTGATACCCACAGGTGGTCCTGGAACCAATCCCCAGGGGATACTGAGGGACCAGCATCAAGCACTGTGCTAAGCTCCTTCCTGTAAGGTGTTATTTCATTTACTCTTCAGAACAACCTCGAGACAGGGACCATTAAATGTCTTCATTTACAAATCAAAAAAGCGAGGTTACAGAGGCTACAGAAGGTACCTGGGAAGTGGTAAAACCAGGATTTAAATTTGAAACTCCCAGATTCAACAAGTGTTTTGCGTCATAATACAGTTTTACTATATTAGTAGTAGACTTAAAAATTTTTCTTATTGTTCACTATGGATGTTTTAAAATGTGAGGGTTAAATCTTGTCTGATTAAGGCAAAGCCTCTAATTTCTACATGATGGCTACTCAAAAACATCTTTTAAAAATCATTGTGATTGGACCCAGAATAATTTGTTTAGGTTTGTACATTTGACTAATTTGTTCTGTAACTCACAGGAAATCTTAGGCTATTAAGGGTAAGCACTGTTTATTTGCCTTCTAAGTTCCTCAAATAGTAGTTAAGCTTTTTATGTAATAGGTACCCAAAAGGTGGACTGAGTCAACTGAATAAAGCTGAGTAGGGTGAAGTCATATAGTTTCCCAAATTGGTTTTGAAACTTTTAATATAAGAAAATGTATTCCAAAATAAATATTCTGTGGTTCTATTATGCTGTCTTCAACATTATGTTATCAAAATGCTTTAAAGTAGATAGATTATAAAAAATGAATAGGGCTTCCCTGGTGGCACAGTGGTTGAGAGTCCACCTGCCAATGCAGGGGACACAGGTTCATGTCCTGGTCCAGGAGGATCCCACATTCCGCGGAGCGGCTGGGCCCGTGAGCCATGGCCGCTGAGCCTGTGCTCCGCAACAGGAGAGGCCACAACAGTGAGAGGCCCACGTACAGCAGAAAAAAAAAAAAAAAAAAAAAAAAGAATACCTGAATTTAAAGATATACCTAAAATTCAAAGCTATGTAAATACTTTCAAAATTAGTATAATTTTCAAGGGAATTAGATGTGATATTTTCTTGCATCTGTATTATTAGTGATTTTATTAGATAGGTCTTGTGAAGGAACAGTAGAATTAATTTTGCAAAGGTTAAAGGGAATCTGCTGTCTTTGTCAATCTTGGAAAAGAATCTGCTGTTGTATCTCCTGGCCAATGCTAACTACAGATTCAAGTAATTCAAAGACATCCTGGCTGGTGACTGTGGGGTGACACTGCCATCTAGTGGCCATTTTCCACTGCAAGGGACATCCCTCTTACGGGCCATGCTGTTGCTGAAGAGACTGGATTATCATCAGGTACATGTACCTAAGAACCCACTTTCACATCTCACTGGATTATAAAGTCTTTGAGGGAGAAACCATGCCTTATGTATTTTCTTTTTTCCTGCACCCAGTGAAGGGAGTATAGCTGAATGTGGGGCCTAATTAGGGACGATGACCCCCAATCCAGTTGAAAATCCACGTATAACTTTACAATCAGCCCTCGCACATCCACAGATTCCGCCAACCTCAGATCACGCAGTACTGTAGTATGTATTTATTGAAAAAAAATCTGTGTATAGTGGACCCTCGCAGTTCAAACCCACGTTGTTCAAGGGTCAACTATATTTGTTATCTTTGACATGAAATATGTTCTTGACCCACCCAGTTAAGAATATCAGAAAGAACTGTTCACTTCTCATCCCTTCTACTTCCCCCCACCCTTAAGTCTTCTACTTCTGTTCAGGCTGCATAAAAACTGGAAACTGTAAAAATCATGGTGTGACTATCTCAAATTTCTGTTCCCATGACCACATTACCAATTTAAGTAGCAGAAAATAAAAGGAGACATAGCTGGTTTACCCTTAACACAAGAGACTAAAAAAATATATGGCAGTGAATTCTTCCTGTGGCTAAATAAAATGCAACCAAGTCGTTAGCAGATTTTCTGAAAGATAAACATCATTGTAATTACCATTCCAATAGCTACACTTTAAAGTGCTAGACATTGTTCTAGGTGCTTTCTGTGCACTGTCTCATATAATCCTCACAACAAGGCTACAAAGTAGTTATAAATCCAATTTTAACACTAAGAAAACTGAGGCAGAGAAGGAGAAAGAGGGAGAGAGAAATAACACTTGCCTAAGGTTGTTTCCACTAGTAAGTGGAAAAGCTGGAATATGAAACCAAGCAATCTACCTGTTTGTGGTAGAGAACAAAACCAGGCAAAAACAGTGATATTTCGATTTTAAAAAATACTCAAGGGCTTCCCTGGTGGCGCAGTGGTTGAGTCCGCCTGCCGATGCAGGGAACACAGGTTCATTCCCCGGTCCGGGAAGATCCCACATGCCGCGGAGCGGCTGGGCCGGTGAGCCATGGCCGCTGGGCCTGCGCATCCGGAGCCTGTGCTCCACAACGGGAGAGGCCACAACAGTGAGAGGCCCGCGTACTGAAAACAAAAAACAAAAAACTCAAATATTCCTAACAAAAAATTACTTGGAAAACTGGGTTGCTTTAGCAGAATTACTATAGTTATTCTTTAGAAGACATGTACCGAATGAGTCAAATTTATTGATGAAAGAGGGTTTACTTATCTATTTATATATATGTATCTGCCTTGGTCCAAAAAATACTAAAGGTGGCTTAAAAAGGGATCATAGTAACTTTTTGAAAAATATTCAACTTCTTAAATATATTACTCTCCCCAAAAGCTAGCTGCTTCCAAACTTGATTTAATATTTTGCATGTTTTCTCTCCGTTGCTTTGTAAATATATTTGCTTCTCCTTTCTGTAATCGTCGTCTCACAGCTGATTTTTGCTGTTTTGTCAACTGACGCTTCACCTTCTGTTTCACCAATTCCTGGAAAGATTTCATGAATTAGTATCACTGATAATGGAACATTTTTTTTTCTTTTTTTTTTTAATGGAACATTTTGATAAGGAGTAAACATTCAATAAAACAAAGATTCACACTGCTAATATTTTTCAAATTTCTGTTAAAAGCATGAGTTTTAAAAAATTCCAAACACTGACAGTACTATATTAAACAGCAATAAGAGAAAACACCAAACTGTTATAAAATAGGAGGAATTAAATTCCTAACAGAAACACAGATTACAGCAAAAAGTAGCACATAGTAGTGAATAGTCACATTTCTTTAAATAACAAATCATCATAGTGCCACCTAGTGTCTATCAGGAAAACTGGGAAAAACCAACCAACCATAACCCCCAAACCCAAACCCAACAAGATGGAAAGAAAACAAAAACAAACAAACAAAACCAAAACAACCTGCTTATTCCTTTGCTTTCTAGGTAAAAGGAGGCATGGTTTTGTAGTGGAAAATTATGTTTGAAAGCATTTACTACTGGTCAAATATACACAAGAGTGCCTTCATAACTTCAGGTGTAGAGATGACCTGATGGCAGCAGTTACTCATGGAAAAGTCCTCATACAGTTTCTGGGAGAAACAGTATGTTTTCACACGGTGAATGATCATAAATTCAAATTATTTCTTATCACTTAAGACACAGGCTGCCAATGTCAAATGACTTACAAGATGAAGAATAAAATCTGAATATTCTGTTCACATAATTTTTTTTTCCTCTGAAGCAGCCTGTTTAATTGTGTATAATCTTGCATCATCCAACCTCTCCTAAAAAAAGAGTGAACGCTGAAAGGGTTGAAGCAAGGGTCTCTTCTTAATATGCTCCACCCCATGCTAGGTACAAAGAAGCATTTATTAAAAATCTGTCAAGTTAAAAAATTAAAGATTAATGGATTTGAGAGGTAAAAAGGAGCTAGAAAAACCAGTCTGCCTAACGCACTGTTTCTTGGACTGTATATGTGAAATATAAAACTCTGGATCAGATAAGTTAAATGCAGACTTCAGATATTTTACATAGTTAGGCAGACAGGCTTTAACAAGTTATCCCTCTTTATTTTAGTCTAATGATTCTCAGTGGGAGGAAAAGTAAAAGAAGATAAAGCGAAACAGAAGAATAAAAATGCAAGTTCCTGCAGAGGCTGATATCCTAGGAGATGCAGTTCCAGGAAGGCCAGAGTCTTAGAAGCACCTGGTTGCTATCCCAGAAATTTCATTACTGAAAGCATTAAGATTGGCTGAAAGTTTAACACATGAGTGACTGGCCTCTAGGACTTTTCTCTACCCTAGGAAGCCAGGCAACTATCACAGCCTCCTCACCCCAGCAGGAGACCAGAAACCTGAATCAGATCAGCATCGTCTTAACTATCACCAAGAGAACAAAGCAATACCTTCAGAATTCTGAAGGTCAATTATTTCCAAACCACAACTCTAATACTTAAATTCTCAATCAGGTGTGAGAACACGATAAAAAGACATTTTTAGTAATAAAAAGTCCTCTCCCCAACCCAAACTCACTCAAAAAACTACTAAAATCCGTTCTGCCACATAAAGAAGTAAACTCAGTAAGGAAAAGAGATAAAACTAGGAAAGAAGGTACCCAACAGGAGACTGAGACAACAGTAGAACATGCACCACATTTAAACTAGAGGAGTTCAGACAGAGGCCTCTGGGATAGTTCCAAGAAAAAAAAAATCAATTTATTTTCTAAATATTCTGCTTGAACTTCCCCTTCGTTCTTTACTTCAATGAGACCATAAGATAATCATATCAAGCAGCTAAAGAAAATAAGGAGGTAATGAATCACTATGCATATACCTCCTAATTCAGAACAATTTACAAATCCTACAAGGTTAATAATTTTCATGTTAAAAAGTGGGAGAAAAATCCACACTAGTATATTTTTTTAAAAAAATGATGAAATGCGAAATAAAATACAGTTGATCCTTGAACAATGAGGGTGTTAGGGGCATTGACCCACCGTGCAGTCAAAAATCTGAGTATAACTTAGAGTCAGCCATCTGTATCAGAGGTTCCTCTGCACCTGCGGATTCAACCAACCACAGATCATATAGTACTGTAGCATTTACTATTAAAAAACCCCACATATTCAAACCAGTGTTGTTCAAGGGTCAACTGTACTTCTGTATTATTTCAAGGAGTACATGAAAAAAATGAATGAAAATCATGTACTTTGTTATTGTTTTGTTGTTTGTTGCTATTGATGGTGGCCATGTATGTATTTTTTTAAAATCAATATACCTTAATGTTTAGCTGGAATTTAATTCTGTTACATATGAGAAAGAACAGCATTCATAAATGGCAACTTTCCCAATAAATAGGGAACTATAAAAGTATTTTAAAGAGGAAAACAGATTTTACAATTTCAAAGAACACAGAGCAAATCTTTTAGTTTTGCAGACACGAAAACAACAATCATCAAATTAACGAAGGTAATAAAAGTTTGTTTTCTCCTGACCCTTTAAAAAAAATGGAATACGACCTCAAGGAAAATAGTATGACCAAATTCCCAAAAGAATTAGAAGTTAACACAGTCAATTTGTTTCCAATGATTAGACGGAAACCTTTTCGATTAAGCTGGCTAGAGAGATCTTTTCCCCCCTTAGACTAAAGGCAAATCTGTATTTTATAATCCAGTTTATTATAGGCTTGACCCCATTTGAAATATAAGTTCCTTCTGTTAGCTGTAAGTTAAATGGCATAAAGACAAGACCTAAAGACAATGTTAGTGTCATCATCTTTATATACAGAAAAGAGCATAACTTAGAATTTAAGAAAGTAGCAGGAGTAATCTAACTTTTCTTTATATGCAATTGCCAATTTTACAACACTGTATTGGGTTGGCCAAAAAGTTCATTCGGGTTTTTCTGTAACATCTTACAGGAAAACCCTAATGAACTTTTTGGCCAATCCAACAATTAGATATAAATGCACTTATGTTTTGAATCTGATAAAATCAAAGAAAGGAGGGTGAATATATCTCAATAAGTACAGAAAAATATCAAAGCCAAGAATGGACAGGCAATCATAAAGTGAGAGAAATTGTTAACCAAGACAGGTGATAATACTTAAAGGGAGATATTATCTTCCATCATAATTAAAAGATGTTTCAAAGATTTCACAGACTTAAATTTTATGTTCAGAAAATCAGGTAAATTATGAGGCCATCAGAAGAGTATATAAAATCAGTGCATTTACAGAATTTTATTCTTTTATTTTGGTCTCACAAGTTCCAAATGTTTCTATTATTGAGTAAAGATACCAGTACTACTAAAAGTGCACTATATTAATAAAACAGAGTACTGTTATTTTTAGCTTATTTTTTGATAACTGATTTAATTTTGTAAATGTCCCATATTACCCTCCACAGGGTGTACATTTTAACTTGTTAACAATATATCTGAACTTAAAAAATGAGAAGTTCAGGAAAAAACAAAGTTCTTTCCCTGTGAATTCACTTTCTAAATAATAATTTGATTTCCTCCTTTCTACCTTCTAAACTGACTTTCTTCTTTTGCTCATTTTAAGTAAAGTTATCACTAAAAACTAGTTTCAATGGTATTCAACTTAGTACCTTCAACCAGAAGGAAAAAAACCTACCACACCAATTATGTAATTTTATCTCTGCTTAAAATCTACAAAGGAAACAAACTGATTCTTCCTTCCGGGTAGCCAGGAGAAATGGCCGGCAGGCATATCGGTAGGAGCTGGACTATACGTTCATTATCCTGTCCAGAAAATGTCCTTTATGAAATTCTTTTGGACATTTGTTGCTAAATGTCCAACAAAAGCTTGAGACACTGAAAGTTTTACAATTACCTATTTTCCTCTTTCAAAATTTAAGAACAAGCTAGCTAGCGAAGCTCGTGCATTTTCACATTTGAGGTGCAGTGCTGTCACTAGCTGAGTAATCTTGAGCAAAGTCATGTAACTTGTCTGGGCCTCAATTTCCTAATTGTTAAAATGCAGGGACAAGATCACATGAGAATCTACAAAGTCCCCCTTGGATTTAAATTTCTATGATTTTCATCTTTCAAATTCAAGCCAACTTACATGCTGTGTTTTCCCTGAAAGCTCTGATCGTTCCAGCTAAAAGTGAAGTGAACCCTCTCTATTTACTAAATTTGCACTTGTTATCAATTTTATACTATCAACATGTGAAGTCCAAATGGCCAAGGTGGTCCTGTACATCATCTAATCCTCAGAGCGCCTAAGCTTAATAATCTGTCCACAGTAGTGCTAATAAACACCTGGGAAATGTTGAATGAATAGTTACCGGAGGAATTGTTGAACAGCTTAACACACTGCCCACAGAAGTAACACTCAGAGTTCTTGTTCTATGTTGATTAGTATCTTCCATATTTTCTTCATCTCTAAAATTAAAATCAAAATTTAGTTAATTTTTAATAGTTAATTATGCTTAATTTATATCATATTACTACTTTGAAATACATAAAGCCATATTTCATCAAACTACCCTAAATCTAAAAGTTAAATTTTAGATCTTTTGCTAATCTAAGCTGAGGCTGATTCACTAATATTTGTCCAAAAAAAAAAATCTTAAAAGAAAAATAACATAACAGTAATTTTAATTGTACATTAACAAATAAGTACAGAAGGTTCAAAGCATGAGGGAAAATTCACTGTAAGTAGATATTTTAAGAGAGCACACTTACTACATGTTTATTGGACTATACATTAACCAAACATACATTAGATGAATAATTATTAAAAAATACAAATAATTCACCCATCTAAAACCTCATCAACTTATCAAGATATCTTATTAACTATTTGAAAGTAATCAGTTTGAATTTGAAAGCAGAACTGCTTAAAACTGAATAAATAGGCTGTCTAGCATAAGTCAATTGTAGAGGGTTATTTGAATTTTAACTATAAAAGAGTTATTTGCTTTCATTTTGCACATGATGATGCAGAATATAGCTGTCATGTCATTTGAAAAAAACATTCATTTACCAGAATCAAAGTCTAGGTCTCCAGATTAAAGTAAAAAACCAACCAACAGAAGTCTATACCTGAAAGGCCTTAATTCTTTGTTTACTGATGACAAGGCAATCATATGAGGGCACTCATCTTCATACTCCTCAGAGCCCATGAGGATTCCACCTTGACCTGTCTTATCATCTTGCCTGGTGTCATGTTTAGTTCTGCTATTCTCCTCAGAAAACTCAGTTACAGAACTGTTTGTAACAACCTGCCCTTTTATTTCTTCTAAAGGCTGATTGAATTCAGTCATTTCAAAACTATGTGCCTCAGCACTGTCCTCTGACAAACTGTCTTCCTTTATTTGTTCAAGGTCTCCAGATGATCTGTAACAGCAGTCAACTGATTCACCTGTAGAGTTCTGTCCACTTTCAATATCTGATCTACAGTCCTTTGCTTTTTCTGATATCTCTTCATCAGAAAATGAGAATTCAGATCCCTCCTCTGTTTCAATACTTTTATCATCTGGACCTACTGGATGAAGTAGTTCATCATCTGCCTGCATTTCCTTTGTGTAGCCGCTGGCAGAAACCTCTACATCAAGAGAGTCCTCCCTCCTAGGAAAAGAAAAGAATGTTATGCATTTAGAGAGCGAGAAAAAAAATCCACCTGACATGAATTAAGTATTTAGTGTTCTGATAAATTACGACTCTCAAATGAGTTTAACAGTTTATATATTTTAAAGGTTTTTCTCTGCCTAAAAGGTAATACTTAAATCACTTAACTACACAAATGTAAAGGACATAGCTGGTTGTCATCTAAGAATAAAATGACTGTGAGGGACTTCCCTGGTGGTCCAGTGGTAAAGAATCTGCCTTACAATGCAGGGGATGTGGGTTCAGTCCCTGGTCAGGGAAGTAAGATCCCACATGCCGCAGGGCAACTTAGCCCGCACGCCACAACTACTGAGCTCTCATGCCTCAACCAGAGAGCCTGTGTGTGGCAAACTATAGAGTCCACATGCTCTGGAACCCGTGCGCCTCAACTACAGAGCCCACATGCCCTGGAGACTGAGCACCACAACTAGAGAAGAGAAAACCCGCACGGCACAACTAGAGAGAAGCCTGCACGCCACAAGGAAAGATCCCTTATGCCTCAGCAAAGATCCTGTGTGCTGTAACTAAGAGCCGATGCAGCCAAAAATAAATTAAATAATGAATCTTAAAAAAAAAGGAATAAAATGACTGTGAAGAGCAACAGATATTAGTAGAAAAGTTACAGAAACTTCAGTTGATACTGACTTAATAAATTAACTTTCAGAGGAGGCTAAAGATTTTAAGTTATGTTAATCATCCCAAATCAGAAAACAATATCTTAACTACATATACAAAATGAGAACATTTGGCTGTGAGAATTTACATATAATTATGTGCCATGAATCAATTAAATATAGCTCCTATAGTGAATAAAGGAAAAACACAATTTCTGATAAACACTTGGCTTGATTCCTTAAAAATGGGTTATTCACATAGCATCCTATATTGAATAAGCGTTCTTGAATTTATAAGAAACTAAGTAGGTTCCTCCTCCAAATTCAGTAAGGTTAATGGACCACAGATAGGCATAGTTTTTAAGTTTCATTTGTATATTATATAGCAATGATACTGAACAACAATAATAATGAAAATTTTTTAGATGAAAGTGTTAACTTTTAGAACTAAATAAATCTGGTATTCAGAATTCTATCATTTTATGCAACATAGTATACAAACCTGATATCACTAAAGGTTGGGAAAAGCTCACTTTCATAGCTGAAACGTTTCATGAAGAAATCTCTGATGCATTTAACATCTCTGTCAAAATACCTGCAAAAGCAAGAATCATTTTTTATATAGCCTTTGTTGTTCATCTTTTTCCTTATTAGCCAAAGACAACATCCTTGTTATGACATTCTTGTTGTTACATGAAAGAGAAAACGATGTTACTCAAAAGAAAAAAGAAACAAATCAGCTGCTGGTGTTTGAAAAACTAAAAGCCCAGGAACAAGGACTATAAGCTGTCAATGGCATACAGTTCTTATGGTTAGAAAACTCAAGGTTTTCCCATACTGTGAGACATATATATGAATCCCAGAAAAAAAGATAAGGGCCTGCAGTTTGGGGGCAGATTTCTACTTTCCCTCTCTAGTTTCCAGTCTGTCTGATTATAGTTCCCATCAGCTTCAGCTATGTTCACTAGAACCTCTAGTCAACTGGGAAAGGTGAAGACAAAAATAAACTAGTGACTCATAAGAAAAAGTTTGGGGACTAATGTTATGTTTATATTATCTTTATTACCCATTAGCTAATATGCAGTAAACATCTATAGGATATAACTAATGCTGTGGCTTATAAATAGTTATCTGGAGACATGTTAATCTGGACTGAGAGTAGAAGGACCTCTGAATATCAGGTTGCTTTTTAGGCTACCATAAAGCAGCCAGAACAGATTGAATTCTCTAGAAGATTTCCAGAAAGGGAGAATTAAGAGACAGGATGACATGGAATTCAGAGAACAGGAGAAAAAAAATACTCAATCTTAATTTGATTACACTCAATTGCATCATAGAATACAAACACATAAAGGAAAATATCCTGTCATATTTCACAATTTGGCTGTTTAAATGGTCAAGTAAATGAGAAATAAGATTATCACAGTATATGAAGTGATTCTGCCCTGTGTCAGGGATGAGGTTTTACGTGAATTCCTTTCTCTTATCAAAATAAAAGCTAAAAACAACATGAGAGATATTACCAGTCTGGTAACTGAGTTCAGTACAAAACCGTAACTTTCATCAAGGCCATAAAAAATTATTAAATTATGCCTGGTGAAGCCCTCTTGGAGGCAACCATGAAGCAGAGAGAAAAGGGGAAAGGCAGAGAGGATGTGGTTCTAGGGTTCCTCCTTCCACGTCCCTACTTCTTCTGAGCAGGCTTTTGTTTTAAAAATTGGGCTTCCACCTAAACGTTTGTTTGAATAAAGAGTTCCATGGCTGAGAAAGTTTGACTTTTGCAAGTCTGTCAGGTTACAAGAGTAATTCAAATTCTTTTGATGATTTATAAAAGTAGGCAGTTTCTTCAGATTTCTAATATACAGCACTATTTTAATATATAGGTTTTAAAAACTGTATCAAAGTGCATTTTTTTTCAGTTTTAAAATACCGAGGAGTAAGAAAAATTCTTAGGGGGAAAATCAGAGCATTTTGACATCCCAATTTTTAGACTCTTAACATCAGTCACTTCAAACCAGTTATTAACCCCAATGACAGTATGACAAAGCTGAAAAATTATTAATAAATAAAAGATGACTGCATCACACATAAACACAGTTACATCCAGAATATACCATTCAGCATTGGTATGAGAAGTTGAAACCATCTGTGGAAAATCGATCATGGTGATGTGGTCATCTTTATCCAAAATGAGATTGAATTCATTGAAATCTCCATGAATCAGCCCATGATTTGCAAGTTTAACAATTAGTTCCATAGCTTCATCATATACTGATGCAGGATCTTCAACATGGTGTATCTGACATCTGAAAGTGTTAAGTGTGAAAATGGTTATTTGTCCTCATTTATGATTTTAATGGAAGCAAGCATGTGTGTATTTACATTTAGATATTATTTCCATTTCATCATGCCTCCCTAGCAGTTTTCTCTTCAATCCTATCAGCATACAGATATAACAGCTTTAAAAAAAAAAAAAAGACACAACCCATTCAATTCTGTATCTTCTTCCCAGTACACCACATTCTTTCTTTCATCTTAACAGCCAAACTCCTCTACTTGTGCTTTCTCCAATTCAATGAGCACTCTAATGAGCCCATTTCAAGCAAGCTTTCATTCAACCTTGTTCCAATGAAATAGCTCTCGTCAAAACTACCAATGACTTACATGTTGCTATATCCAATGGTCAATTCTCCACCTTCATCATTATCTGGTCTGTCAGTTAACCTCTTCCCCCTCCTTGAAGCAGCTCCTTTCACTTGACCCTTGGTACACTAACTCTTCAGGCTGTCCTCTTTCTGCACTGATCATTCCTTCCTAGTTTTTTTAGCTAGTTCTTCAGCTTTTCCCTGACGTATAAATTTTGGAGCTCCTCAAAGGTTAATCTTAAGACCTATTATCTTAACCATTCTTGGTGATCTCATACAGGCTCATACACAGACTTCAATCTAGACTTCTCTGAGCTTCTGGGCATCTCTAACTTACCATGTCCCAAACTGAACCTCTGATTCTGCCCCACCCTCTAACTTCAAACTGTCTTTCTGCAGTCCTTCCCATTTCTGTAAATGGCAACTTTATCCCTCCAATTATTCAGGCCCCAGATCTTGGTGTTATCCTTACCTGCCCCTTCCTTTATATCAATACAATCCCAAACAAATCATGTAGGCCCTGACTGTAAAACATATCCAAAATCTGACCACTTTTCATCACCTTCACATCTACCACTCTGATCTAAACTACTATCATCTCTTGCTTGCATTATTACAATAATTTCCTAACTTTTCTTCCTAATCCTGTCCTAGTCTCCTTTCAGTCTATTTTCAATACAGAAGTCAGAGTGATACCATTAAAACATTAGTCAGATCATGTCTCTTCTTAATTCAAAATCCTCCAATGGCAGGGAGTTCCTTGGCAGTCCAGTGGTTAGGACCTGGAGTTTTCACTGCCACCAAAAAAAAAAAAAAAAAAAAAAAAAATCCTCCAGTGGCTTCCTGTCTCAATCAAAATAGTCCTTATACTATTGCTACAATGGCAATCACATTAGGAAATATAAACGTATCAAATCAACCTTAAAGTTACTGAATGTTATATGTCAAATATATCCTCCCCACCAAAATAAATAAATAGAACATCCTTGCAATGGCTTACAAATCGTCTGCTGCCTCTGTGATCTCATCATTTACAATTTCTCCCCTTACTCACTCAGCTCCAGCCACAGTGGCCTTCTGTTTCCTGAACATGCAGGCATACTCCCATTCCAGAATTTACGCATTTGCTCTTGCCTCTGCCCGAAATGTTCCTAGATATCTGCATGATTTCCTCTCTCCTTTCAAGATTCTGCTCAAAAATCCCCTTATCAAGGAGACTTTTCCTGGTCACTCCATGTAAAATAGCAGCCTCCTACACCCACCCACCTCAACACTTCCTGTCCCCCTTACCCCACTTTATTTTTATGCATGGCATTTACCACCATCTGATGTACCAAATATTTCCTTGTTTAGCTATTTCCTGCAAGTTTCCTTCCATCAGAAAGTAAGCTCTATGAGGGCAGGGACTTTGTTTTGTTTACTGGGGAGCCTAGAACAGCGCTTGGCACATACTAGACTCTTTATTTACTGACTGAGTCAGAGAGTATAAAATCCATATTGTCGGGCTTCCCGGGTGGCGCAGTGGTTGAGAGTCCACCTGCCGATGCAGGGGATACCGGTTCGTGCCCCGGTCCGGGAGGATCCCGCATGCCGCGGAGCGGCTGGGCCCGTGAGCCATGGCCGCTGGGCCTGCGCGTCCAGAGCCTGTGCTCCGCAATGGGAGAGGCCACAACAATGAGAGGCCCGCATATCGAAGGGGAAAAAAAAAAAAAAAAAAAAAAAATTGTGGTAAAATCCATATTGTCAGAATGAAACTGAATTTTCAATTTGCCTTTAAGTCTACTACTTTATGTTAATTTCTAACGTCCCAGAAGCAATATTCCATTTACAAAAAAAAATTATTTTTTAAAATTGAACCTTATAATTATTTATTAGGACTGAAGGTTCCAAGAATTATACTTACAGAGGATAGCCTTTTATGAGTTCCATGACCACTGCATGGCGATTATAATCAACTGGCTTTGGAACTGGAAATTTCCTTTCATACAATGCCTAAAATATAGCAAAACAGGTAAAAAGTAATGAAAAGGTCATTAATTTTTAGGGAACAATAAAATTAAGTGTACCTGTCCACAACCAGAAAAAAAACATGTAAGCCTTTACAAAAGTACAGTTAACACATGATTATTTATGCATGGTTTATTCACTGCACAGAATGAGCTGTACATAAAAACAACACTGTAAACCAGTTTTTGTAATTCACTTTTTTTTTTTGCGGCATGCGGGCCTCTCACTGTTGTGGCCTCTCCTGTTGCGGAGCACAGGCTCCGGACGCGCAGGCTCAGCGGCCATGGCGCACGGGTCCAGCCGCTCCATGGCATGTGGGATCTTCCCGGACCGGGGCACGAACCCGTGTCCCCTGCATCAGCAGGCTGACTCTCAACCACTGCGCCACCAGGGAAGCCCCTGTAATTCACTTTTTTACCAAACATGCATTTACTGAACATTTACTAAATATTATACACTGTGCTAGGGTTACAAAAATGAGTGTGAAAATGTCTCTGCCTTCAAGAAGTTTCGTCTCTTACCATATGTATATCTTCTATTTTGTAAGTTTCTGTCATTTACTGGGAGTGTGCTTAAAAAATTCAAATGGAAATAAATTATGATTTAGGAAATATTCTGTCTTCTGGCATATCAGGAAATGAAATATTCCAATATATTAGGCATTTCAGTTTATACAGCACTGACCTTTTTCTTCAGACCACAATATACAATATAAATCTATTATGTGACAGGCCCTTTGTCATTGATACCTGAATCACGCCAACAGTGGTTCTAGTTCTTGCTACCACACCAAACCTTTCTTCAGTGTACCAATACCAACTAAGATGCTTGCATCAATGCTCCATTTTAAAAAAACTACAATGGCTGTAAATATTGACTTCAGTCTGAATAACTTTTCCTAGTTTTCAGAACTCTTTAATCCACTTATCCAGTCCTAGTTCTCTCAATACTCTGTCCAATAAACATTCTGGAGTGTGATCAAGACAGTCACCTTAGTGACTGTCCCCATACACACAGGGCTCACACGAATATTCATGTCTTTGCCATTCTGGTACCTTTGCAAAGTACACTGTCTTATTGTCTTTTCCTTACAGACAAATCATATGCAACTCCATTACTCTACTCAACTCCCACTCACTTATGAAACCTCCTTCATCGATCATTCTACTCTACAGAAGATTCTCTAAACTCAACGTATAATTTGACATTTAAACTGTTCTGTTTTAGGTGTGTTCATGTTATCTTTCCAACTTTAAGACACACACTGCACTCGTTATTTCTTTGGTATCCGCTGTTCACCTCCCCCAACAAAATACTTAATATAGAGGTAGGCACACAGCTGACACTCAATATATGCTTATTAACAGGGTTAATTTTAAGAGCTGTCTACTCTACTTCCTACCTTCTTTGGACAGGAACTATTTCCCTCTCCCCAAAGATTGTCTGCTTGGCCATATATTTGTTATTTTTAAATCCAAATGGTTTTGAACATGCTTTGGCAGCTCAACAGTATGTAACAACTCTTAACTATTGTCATAGTGGTCTAGCCCTTGTACCATAGCTTAACCCTTAAGTTATAGCTCAATCTTATCTTATTTTCGCTTAGGAAAAGAGAGAATAAATTTAAGAAGCATATTTATCCACAACCAGGCTCTATTCCTGTGCCTTCATATAAAAACTCCAAGAAGACACTTAATATAGTTTGGGGGAAATGTGTAACAATTCCTATTAAAACTGCCTACTTACTATCACAGGATACAAACCATTGATATAACACAAAAAACACAACATGTATGGTATTGATATCACTTACTTATACTGACTAGAGGATTCTTCCCTCAGGACTACTAAAAATTTAAGCACATGAATTAAAATAACCTACTCAAAGAACATCAAACTGAAATTCCCAAGAAACAACAGGTCATACACTGGAGTGATTTTTAATAATTCAAAATTTTAAAAAGATAAGTTATAACAAATAAATCCTACTGGAGAGAATAATAAGAATGCAGTTATTTTCTAATTTAAATTATTAGTGAAGACAATTAATTTGGTTATTATTAAAGATATTTAGTAAATCTATGTTGAACTTAATTTGGAAGGTAAAAGGTTGAAAACTAAAGATTTTTACCATTTCTAATATACATACAAATTCATAAACTGACATTTCTTCCATTGAGGGAAAAAAAAATACCAGTCAACTTACCTGAGAGACTAAGATTTCTACAGAAGGTAATTATCTGGTGTTTTCAATTAGAGACAGACATATGCATAGACAGGTATAGATTTACATTCACACATACACATTTGTGAGGTAATTACATCACTATTTATTTGAGGCTACTCTATCTTGTTAATATTGTAGAATACAAGTTGCCTTTATGCATTTATAACAGCTAAAAATACCTTTGCATAGAAGGAAACCACGAGAAAAACAAATACCAGAAATAGTCTAAAGAGTTAAAAAGTGACTGTTAAGGATTGGGACTGGGAGTAGGGAGATGCGGAGGCAACAGACTGATGCATGTCACTACAACCTTTTAACTACACATATTGTTTGGTAAAAAATATAAAATTAAAAATACCTTCATATAAGCAAATTCTTTCATGGCAGAGAGACGAGATAAATAAAGCCAAGACATGTTATGCCTGTGTTTATGATAATCACGCTTGTTTTTCAGATTTCGAAAGGAGGTTCTTCCCAGTCTGTGAAGCTTTAATGCAAATTGCTGCCCTTCTTCATTTGCAACAATGTAAATATCTAGAGTCAAAATTTTAAAAGGATCATTATTATATTTTTATTCCAGTAAATTTAAACAATTCCAATTTTCTAACTTTGGTTTTATTTGTTCCAAATTTTATCTTTCCTAATAACTAGAAATAGTTACCATTCAGCAAAATTCTTTTTATTGTAATTTTAATTACAATACAAAATGATGACATGTATTAATATCTACTACAAAAGAAAACAGGGATGCAAAGGTGTCAAAGGTTACTGCTTCCAAAGATGCTCAATGCTCAATTCCATTTAGTGGGAATACATCTAATTGTTCCTTAGTGTCCTACATGTATGAGCAGTGATTAATAATATCTTCCTTTTCAACATAGGACTTGTCTGGTGGTCCAGTGGTTAAGACTCTGCGCTTCCACTGCAGGGGACGTGGGTTAGATCCCTGGTCGGGGAACTAATCCTGCATTGCCACGCAGCAGGGCCAAAAAGAAAAAAAATTCTTTCTTTTCAACGATGTGAAGTTCAATTCTTAAATTGCTTCAATGAATAAATACTGAGTATCCAAATATAATCCTATAATAATCAGAATGGAGATCTTCCCATAAATATTTTAACTATCAAACAAGTTGCTATTTTAATACTAACATTTAGAACATGTCCTAATTACTCATGAGAGAAACAGCCTCTCATGTTCGTGAGATTATAAATTGACACAATTTGGAAGGAAATTTGGTAATATCAAAATTTTGAATGTGCATAACTTTAGCTCTAATAATTTAATTTCTAAGACTGTAATACTTGGCAACTACAAGAAAGACACCTCTGCTAATATGAAATGATGTCAGGGATGCACCAAGTGGAAAAAAATCAAGGTGTAGAATTGTAAGTACTGTTTGCTTTCACCTATGATTAAAAAGATATGTGAATGTATATACATACATTCTCAGTACATTATATACTTGTATTTACATAGAATATTTCTAGGATATGTACAATATTAATAAATAGTGATAGCTTTGGGAAGTAGTAACAGGAGATGGAGACCTGGGTTAGGAGTTAAGATTCACTTTTTACCGTACTCGTACTCTGTTTTGCAAGTAATGAAGTTCTTAAAAATTAAAAGAAAGCCATTTTTTTAATTGAAAAAAATTGGACATAAAAAAATTAAGAGGAAAAAGAGGTGTTTCATTACATCATTTTATACATTTTTACACACACACACTCCCGTATTTAGTACCTCTAATATTACTTATTAAATATATACCATACTCTGGATATTAACATAGTAGACATACAAACCATATGAAGTACCAAAACAACTCCGTTGGAATAGGTTTCCTAATAGTTCTTTTACTTCTAATTTTAATTTTTTTTTTTTTTGCGGTACTCGGGCCTCTCACTGTCGTGGCCTCTCCCGTTGCAGAGCACAGGCTCCGGACGCGCAGGCTCAGCGGCCATGGCTCACAGGCTCAGCCGCTCCGCGGCATGTGGGATCCTCCCAGACCGGGGCACGAACCCGTGTCCCCTGCACCGGCAGGCAGACTCCCAACCACCGCGCCACCAGGGAAGCCCTGTCCTACAAAGTTTATGCTGTATAGTTACATACTTTAAACTGAGAGAGCAAAAAAATTAAAATTAGGGCTTCCCTGGTCTGGGAGGATCCCACATGCCGCGGAGCGGCTGGGCCTGTGAGCCATGGCCGCTGAGCCTGCGCGTCCGGAGCCTGTGCTCTGCAACGGGAGAGGCCACGACAGTGAGAGGCCCGAGTACCGCAAAAAAAAAAAACAAAAAAAAAACTTTGTAGGACAAAAAGTAGTGTATAAGAGAGCATGGCATAAAGAAAATCTTTCTCTGTTCTTTATTTTTACCACACATAAAAAACCACTACATAGGTATTTGTTTAATGCTCTTTTAGAATTTTTTTCTGTGGTTCTACACATATCTAACTTTGCCCTGTTGATCATACTGCTGTGATGGAAAGTGTGGTTTTTATAACTTCCTTGTGATACTTTTTAAAAAAAATATTTATTATTTTTGGCTGCATTGGGTCTTCGTTGCTGCGCGCGGGCTTTCTCTAGTTGCGGTGAGCAGGGACTACTCTTCGTTACAGTGCACGTGCTTCTCACTTGGGTGGCTTCTCTTGTGGAGCACAGACTCTAGGTGCTCAGGCTTCAGTAGTTGTGCACGCGGGCTCAGTAGCTGTGGCTTGTGGTCTCTAGAGCACACGCTCAGTAGTTGTGGCACACGGGCTTAGATGCTCTGCGGCATGTGGGAATTTCCTGGACCAGGGCTCAAACCCATGTCCCCTGCATTTGCAGGCGGATTCCCAACCACTGCACCACCAGGGAAGCCCCCTTGTGATACTTTAAAAAATTATTACAAATGTTCAGATATTAAAATAAGAACAAATAAAATATTTGCCAAAGATTTCAGTTATTAGAGGAAAACCGATTCTTGGTATAACTGAACTTTCAGTGATAGACTTATGAAAAAACAGTAGTTTACTAAACTAAGGGTAATTTCAAAATCTGTATTGTTTTCAAGCAACTTTTCAATTTACTGTTTAGTTAGAAAAATAGAAAAGACGAATCCTTTCTCAAGGGGAAACATAAACTAAAGCAAATAAAATGCACTCAATAGTACTATCAGCACTTACCAGATTCTTTGCCAACACCGATCTGGTTTCCAACAGACTCAACCACCTGTCTAGAAGAAAGTGTTTTCAAAGCTAGGTAATCATAGCCTGCATTTGTCAACCGATAGCCCTGGACAGCTAGAAAAAAATCAAATGAGAAAGACCATATTTTAGTTACACTGTACCATCAAGTCACATCAGGTCAAGAGAAAAATTTAAACAAGGGAAGTCTTAGCTGGAAAAACACTAGCTACCCAGGCTTATGAGTTTTAGCATTTCTTGCTGTAATTTTTATTTCTTCTCTAGAGCAGTGTTACTCAAAGTGTAACCTACAGACTGATACCAGTCTATAAATGTTTGTTACTAGTCTGTGACAAGTTATAGAAACTAAGTGGTTCAAAAATTTTTGTATCAATTTGACTAAGTTATTTTATGTCTTCAATTCTAATAAGAAGGAATTTGTGCCTGTATTTTGTCAGTTTTTTATTTTTCTAGTAATTATTTTTATTGTTTTATAAAGGTACAGATCCATAATAGGTGGAAAAGAGAAACTCATCCCTCACCACTATGGTTTGAGAGGTAATGCTCTAGAGTCCTTTGGCAGACTGTACTTGCCAAAGACAGCAACAATATCTTAATCCCACTTGTTCTTCTGCAATTGGAACTTGCTAATCCCCTATGACGAAATGAAGGCTATTTCTCTAGCCTCCTGGATCTGGGTGGGCCCTGTGATTGCTCTGACCAGTAGAACATGGTAGAAGTGTACTGTGTCAGTTCTATGTCTAGTGCTTTCCTAGTCTGGCAGCTTCCACCTGCTTTTTGGAATACCTGCTCTGGCGGAAGCCAGTTACAGGGAAAATCACAAACGGTGCCTCAAATACTTACTTTTGGTTCGCTCCCAAGCTATAAGTTTATGTTTTACTAGTTCTCTTAAAACTTTATTACAACCACCATGTTTAAGGCTGGCTATAGAAGCAACCAAACTGCAGGGAACAATTTCATGGTTCTTCATGCCCATTTCAACCTGCAATTGAAGAAATCAAAATGCAATCATAATCAACATAGAGCTGTTGTCTACCAAAACCTTGTGAAAAACTTAACTTCTCCGTCAAACTTTCCTGACCATGCAGTTTCCCAACCAATTGTGAGACATAATTATTACCTTCTCTAGACATATTTTAAATCACAATTTGGTATTTAATCCTTGATATTCATATTCTCTCTCTCTCTCTACTATACTATATGCACTTCAAGAGTATGAATTGTTAGTGCTTAACATAGTTACTAACATATGGTATGTACCAAAATACGTATTGACATCCAAATATTTGTGTTTAATAACTACAGATATTCCAGGTATTTATTAAGAAGGTATTTAATGAGAAGATATGAAAGGACCTGAAATGTAGACCAAAAGTTTTAGATTTTATACTAAGTAGGAAACTCATGAAGATGCTTAGGCAAGGGAGATTTAAGGGTTGTTTTAAGGACGTTAATCTAGCAGGAATATGCAAAGTGGTTTAGAGAAGGCAAAAACTGGAGGTGCTGTATTGGAGAACTAAGACAACAGTCTGGGCCAGAGAAAACAGAAGCCAGGACAGGGAAGAGGTGGTGGTAATGGAGGGAAAGAATTAAAGAAATTAGTATGGGAGGGATTGGCACTGGATGTGGGAGGGTAAAGTGAATGAAGAGTCAAAGGTGAAGTGAAAAGAAAGAAGAGGCTTTAAGATAGTAATAATTATTATTATTTTAATGGAGTTTGGGAAAGGAGTGAAGGGGTAGACAAAGTTGATTAATTCAATATGAGCACACTGAGTCTGAGGTGTTGGAAGGTCCTTCATGGAAGGTACTTCAGATGAAGATGTTTAAGGAAAATTGGAAAGGCTGATCTGCACTTGGGAATGAAGTCATAACTACAGGGAAAAAATCGTCAATTACTTGATGGAGGTAAGAGATAAAGTCATACATAAAGTGGATGTGATCATTAAGCAAGAGATAATGGAAGAAAAAGGAGGGATAAGGGACAGAACTTGGGGGGGGAATTCACACTGAAAGGTAAGGGCAGCCAGTCAAAGTATGATTATTGATGTAGGAGGTGTCAGAGAAATAAAGGGAAGATGGTCAAGGAAAGGTGGCCACTGATACCAAGACTAGTAACACTCAACTGAGACTGAAATATTTAATGAATTAGGCCATTCCTTGGTGAGCTTCAAAAAGAACTTAAGAATTGCAAAAATAAAGTTTTGGAAGATAAATCTGGCATCGTTTTGATGTCCCAACCAAAACCTCACACTTTAAACTTAACTAATCTTCCATGCTTTGTTCTGTTTCTCCCAGCCTCTAACATTCTCTTGACTCCCCTATTTCTGTCAGAGGCATTAAGGAGTGAGTTAATGTGCTGAGGAAGTAGAGAAGGAAGGTATCTTTTGACAGTAGGTATTTAGAGAAAGTGTGGCTGAATTTCAGAATCTATGGGAGGAGAAAGAAGTATCTTCCAAATTTTACACTGAATTTGCATTTGATAGTTTATTCCTTAAGAAATGCCTATTTAAGCAAAAAATAATAGCTCCTAAATAAATGTGTTTTATTCTGCAAATGCCTAATCTATGTGTTGATCTTTGTGCTATAAGACTAAGACCATAAAATCCGTTTTTGTCACTTCCTTGCTTAACAACATTCAGTGGCTCCCCTATACTTAGAATATATTCAAAATTCTTTACCAAGCCTGCATGACTATCTGTAGCACATGATCTGGCTCTTACCTTTCCCAGTTACATCTCCAACTCTTCAGTCTCTTGCTCACTATGCTCCAGCCACACTGGCCTTTCTAGTCTTCAGAAATTGTTCCTGCCTTGGGGCCTTTGCACTCACCACTGTAGCTTCCTCTCCCTTCAATTCTTTCCAAGGACTTCACTGGACCGGCTCCTTCTCATTCAGCTGTTATGCCCGCCCCGCATTCTTTCTTTTACTTAGCAAATATTTATTCAGTACCTACCAAATACCAGGAACTTTATAAAAACAGACAAGATTCTTGCACTCGGGCAGTCTTCTCTGACTAAACAATTTAAAAACAGTATTCAGGCTCCCTGCCTCCACCATGAGGGGTCTCTATTCCGTTATTCGCTTTACCATCTTCATAGAACTTATTATCTTCATATTATCCCTTATTTATGCGTTTACTTGATGATTTGCCTCCTTCGTCTTGTCTGTCCTGTAACCCGTGGAATTCTCTAAAACGGTTACTACATATCCGATAAGTATGTGTGGATTGAATGAAACTGAAGGAATGCTATGTGACTCAATCTGTGAGTAGGGAACTCAATGCTATCAATTACTCTTCAGGATTCTTAAACCCTTCTCAGCTGGTCAGAAGCCCAGGATCAGAGAAGCTTCCCAGGCTACAGAGATTCGATGTGGCTCTGGAGAAGGGGAGCAAAATAGCAAGGAAAAGAGGGGTCTTTGCTTTACATGGGGGAAGATAAAAAGCTTCTGAACAAAGGCTTTTGAAAAATCCGACTGTCCGGTCTTTTCCCCATTTCCAACCTCGGCCGCGTTCCAGGGCCTAAAGCGCGCTCAGCTCCCAGCAAACTTGGAGGAAGAGGAAGAGCACGCGCGGTAGAAAAGGTCAGGGGAGAGGGAAAAATGGCGAACTTCTTACCGCGGTCAGGACCCTGAAATCATCCCGGCTCATGTAACGCAACTTGGCCACATTCACCTTCCCCATGGCGGCCCCGGACCCAGGCCAGAATCCTGTTTCAACAACCAGACAGCGATAAGAAAGCTGACATTCCGGCTTCTCCCGCGCCTCACAGCGGCCGGGCGGCTCGCGCCTGCGCAGCTTATACTACAGGTCCTTGTTACTAAAAAGAGGTACCGTTCTCACTGACTTGGGGGCAATAAAACGTCTTCTGAGTCTTATGAAGCATATAGTACGGAACAAAGCAGAGTATTTTTTTGTAAAGTGATTTTGTTATGTGGCTTAGTCGGCGGACTCTAAGTGCTCTCTATCATACGCCATTTATTTTTCATATCTGTCAGGACCGGCTGCCTAAAGGATGCGACCCGCCTCTAAGAGCAGAGTGGTAGTTTAATGGGAGGAGCACGTTTAACAGCAACTCCTACTTTAGGCGAAGTGACTTCCACTAAGAGATAGAGAAAATGAACCTGAGCCGGACGCCGGACAATCCAGGAGGTTAGAAATAGAGTAACCACACTAGCAGGCCCCTGTCTAACTGCGCATGCTCAGGACAGGGGCGGACGTGGTTAAAGAGAACTCTGGCATCTGCTCACTACTTGATTTAAGTTGGTCCCCGAGACTCCGGAGTGCGCCTGCGCCTGCTGGGGGGTGGAGCTTGGAGTGACGTGTGGGGGCGGGGCTGTAGCCGGCGTCTCTCCCGCGCTTTTACAGAAAAAGTGCGCATTTTGACGTTTCCGAGCTTACCTACGTGGGTTGTCAATTGAGGACCCGATTTAAGGACTTTAGGAGAACTGCCGACACCCGCCCTGGGACTCCAACCTACGGCAACAAAAATGTAGCCGGAGCGGGACCGTAAACAGCTTGCACCCCGACAAAAAGGGTGCGTACTCTACTATACTTTCTTACAAGTATAACAAAACTTGTATGATAATGTTTGCATTTATATCTCGTTTCATGAGCTATATTTTAAACCTTTAAAAGGCATGGGCTTACCTGGTGTTGCAGTGGTTGGGAGTCCGCCTGCCGACGTAGGGGACATGGGTTTGTGCCCCGGTCCGGGAGGATCCCACACGCCGCGGAGTGGCTAGGCCCGTGAGCCATGGCCGCTGAGCCTGCGCGTCCAGAGCCTGTGCTCCGCAACGGGAGAGGCCGCAACAGTGAGAGGCCCGCGTACCACAAAAAAAAAAAAAAAAAAAAAAGGCAGTTATTTTGGTTCGCTACTCACGTGAGGTGAGGGTGCTGCATTTGCTCGCGGAGGTTTGTGGGCCACTGCTGTTCAGCCTCTCCCTGGGTCTAGCCTCAAAACCTTTAGTATAAACTTTGGAAATCAGTCTTTACAAAGAGTTCCTATCCTTCCCCCGCCTCCGGTTTTTCACTGACTCGTGTGCTGATTTTCCTCTTCTCAAAGGCCCCACTGGGTATGTTGCTCTGTCCAGACACAGAACTAGTCCTTCAATAAAACATGCACTGGAATTCTAAGGCAGGCAGTTGAATCTGCCCTATCTTTTCAGCCAGGATAGTTAATATAATGAAATAGAGAATAAAGAAAGCAGAGCAACCCTCTATTCCCTCAACACAACCTTTGCCTTCTTTTTTTTACTTGAATTCAGTAAATTTTTGATTAACCAATCTCAACTAATGGAAATCTTCATTGAAATGGAATTTTTCTTTCTGTAATTCACATAAGACATAAAAATGAAAAGTTTTGGGATTTCCCTGGTGGTGCAGTGGTTAAGAATCAGCCTGCCAATGCAGGGGACACGGGTTCAACCCCTGGTCCGGGAAGATCCCGCATGCTGTGGAGCAACTAAGCCTGTGTGCCACAACTACTGAGCCTGCGTTCTAGAGCCTGCGTGCCATAACTACTGAGCCCGTGAGCCACAACTACTGAGCCCGTGTGTCACAACTACTGAAGCCTGCGTGCCTAGAGCCCATACTCTGCAACAAGAGAAGCCACTGCAATGAGAAGACTGTGCACCACACCGAAGAGTAGCCCCCACTCACTGCAAGTAGAGAAAGCCTGTGTGCAGCAACGAGGATCCATTGCAGCCCAAAATAAATGAATAAAATAAATAAATTTATTTTAAAAAATAAAAAGTTTTTAAGGAAACCAAATGACTAACTTATGGAGCAAGAATGGGATGAGAAACACGAGTCATTTGGGGTCTATTTTTAATCTAACACTTTAGCAGACATTATTAATCTATTGTGACACAAACCTTAGCTTACTTCTTAACTCTGCTCCAGGCAACCACCACTAATTGATTGGATTTGGCTAGAATTGCTGTCCTGGTTCCGGCATATTCCCTGGGGATAATCACACTGAGCCCAAATATTTTATACTTTCAATATTAATATATATTTTTAAAACATCTTAAACCTTTGAAGAGTAAAAGTGATTCAAGTACTGTTCAGTATTCTGCTCTACTCTACCATACCATGCTTAGTAATGACAAACAAAAAATGCACAATATTCTTCATTCACTCATTTACTGTTTCTCTGTATGTCAGAATTTTTTCTCGATCTTGGGGAAACTCAATCCCAACCCTTAAGCCTTGTGGTGGAAGAATATGAGTAAAAAGTTAGAGAATAGTATAAGAGGTATGCAAAGGATTTATCACATCATTATTTCTTCCTTCCATACTCTGTCTCCTACCCCTCTCCCCTCCACATATGGGGCTTGTCCTCACAAGCTGCAGAGATCTTGACTGTCCAGAAATTAAAGTTCAAACTTCTTAAAGTTCAGACTTCTTAGGCTGGCATTTAAAATCTTCAGTAATGTATCATTACTTCCAAGTGGCATATACACTTGCCTAATTGAACTACTTTGTTTTTACCTTGTACAACTCCCTTGATTTTCTGTCTCACTGCATTTTCTCTTCATCTCTAATGCTCACTTTCCCTTCCCCTTTTCTTTTTATTCTTTACAGTCACTGTATATGTAAATCCTACCTGCCATTCTTAAAATACCATGCATTCCATAAAGCTTTTGTTTAATATCCTTATATTAGTTTCCTAGGGCTGCTTAACAAATTACTGCAAACTTGGTTGCTTAAAACAATCAAAATTCATTCTTTTACAAAAGGTTCTGGACCATGCTGCAACCAGAGTGTCTGAGGGAGAATCTGCTTCTTGCCACTTCCGGTTTCTGCCAGCATTTGGTGACTGCTGGTGTTTTTTACCTTGTGGTTGCATCACTCCAGTCTCTGCCACTGTAGTCACGTAGACTTCTCCAGTTCTGTGTGTGTCTCCCTCTGTCTGTGTCTTATAAAAATACATGTGATTACATTTAGGGCCCACCCAGATTCTTAACCATATCTGCAGTTTTTTTTTTCCATAGAGGGTAAATTCATAGGTTCCTTTATATTATGAAAGGGTTGGACTTGACTTGGTGTTTCTAAACTTTTGGTTAATGTAAGTCCCCCATCTCAGCCCCATAATCTCCATTCTGCTCTGGTTGAGAATCACTCTCTTCTGTGTATGCCTAGGAAGCAAGAATATTTGGTTAACGTTTGTTTTATGAAAATAATATTTTTTTCATATTGATGACTTTGATAGCACCATTTCCCTTTGGAACTGCTGGACAGGTGATCAGTCAGACCAGGTTTAGTCAGAGGACAGAACCCGTATTAGTTATTTAAAAAGAGAATTTAATATTAGGAATTATGAATTTGGCATAAAGCTAAATAGAAAACTGAAAAGGGGAAAGGAGAATAGTAAGACACCACAACTACCAGGAGGACAAGATAAGGATTGGTTTGGCAGGTGTTGCACACACTGCAAACTACATTCATATGTTATTATGGAAGGGTTTTGCTGCTGGGCTGAAGAAGTGTTGGGACAATGCTAACAAGAATGGCTTACTGAAGAAGCCTGGAGGAAGCAAATGAGATGCGGACTGAAGGCACAAGTTGATTCCTTCTCCTTCTAGGATTCCTTTTCAGCAGAATCCAACATGGAGGCAGCTGGCAAAACAGAAATGTGGTTTACAAGGTCCCAGCCCTGGCGTCAGAAAGTATAACGTAGAAGTCTGGGTTTGGACTTCTAAAAGACAGTAGCTTAATAACTGACACAATCTCTGAGATGTTTTTGAGATTTAAGATTCTCTTTGCCTCTTAGACTTCCACAGGTTAATAATTAAGAATCTTTATGGTTTGCTTTTTTTTTTAATGTACTTTGATACAGAGAGTAAATGTTTCAGATTTTTGATCTTCTATTTCATTGCCTTACTTGAATTAATGAATGTCCTTGCTTTAGTCCTGTTCTTGTTTTGTTGTTGTTGTGTTTTTTTGTTTACAAGAGTTAAAAATAATCCCATTATCCTAATAGAGATTTTTATTAAATAAGGGCTTTTGGTTTACCTAAAATAGTGTAATTGTCTTGGTTCCAAATTAGAACACTTGGTATATTATTCCAGGTTACTCTTTCAAATGATGGAATTTTAAATATTTCCACACATTAAATTTTACATAGTTTTATTACTTTTTCTTTGAATAATGAATCTGAGCTTTAAAAGTATTCTTCAGACTATGGGGTATTTAACTGGCCCTCTGTTAGAACAGCTTTTTTTAGTCTAACTACTGCCGAACTTCCAAACTTGGTTAAACATTCTTACCATTCCTCTTTTAACGTGGCTTAATATGCTAGTCTTTAACATGAAAACATTATTTGCTCACAAGGAGTTCTCATGAAAGCAGACTTTATATAAATTGTGATACTCAACTTTCAGTAGGAAATGGTCAAATAAATATAGAAGATTAAAAATGAGGTGTTCAGAAGTGGAATGGTTGTTTAATTAGCTGAAGAGTACCTAAAAATGTCTGTTGATGTAAACTGACATACATGAAAATGTATTTAGTCATTTGTATTTATCAGTTGAAACTTTATTATAAATAATAATCTATGAAAAAACTTTAAAAAATATTTTGTCTTTAAGCTATTATATATCTAAAACTTTTATTTTCTATTTAAAATTTGATTGTCCCAAAATACACAGTCTCTAAGATCCCAGTTGTGAAGAGTTCTAGTTAAGCTAATGAAAAGCAGTAACTGTGCCAGACCCCCAAATACTGCAAATTCTCTCCCATAGGTAAATTTATAAACACCTCAACATGCTTTCTCAAAGTT